AGTGCTGCCAGGGGGGCCTGAGAAAGGCCCCAAAGGCGCCCGGGGGCCCCGTAACCCGCTGTCCCACTGAGCACGTCACCACCACTGGCAGGCGGGAGGGGAGTTTATTCCGGCCCCGGCTGGTCGAATAGGCCGGGGCTCCCGCTGGCTTCGTCTGTCGCGGAGGGGGGGCCCGCGGCAGGTGGCTCGCCCTCATCTGCGGAGAGGCTCTATATTCTCTTCTCTGCGGAGAGACGTGGGGGGAGGACGAGGGTCAGGAAGTGGCCGGGGACCTCCCAGAACACGCCCCCCTCCCTGTCCAGCTGTGTCCATTCTGCTGCAGCCCTCAGCAGGGGCCATCTGCTTGGTCCCCACAGGCTGGGACTCAGTATTCAAAAGGGACAATAGGGGGCGCTCTCTCCTCACAGTCCCGGTGGTACTAGGGGGCACTGTGCTGCTCCGTGGGGGGCCCAGCCTGCTCTCCCTTTGGGTGAGTCCAACCCCTCTTGCAGGGGCCCTCTGACGCAGGATTCTGCATGTCCTGCCCTAAGGCGTGGAGTGCGTGTTAAACGGCTGTGGGGCCCCACCCCAGAGGTGGCTGCATCTCAGCACTGAGCAAGGGAGCCCTGTTTGAGCAGCTGCTGGGCCCCACCCCAGAGGTGGCTGCATTTCTGGGCAAGGGGGGGGGGTGAATTCAGGGGCTCTAGATGGCTGCGTCTATAAAGTCAAGAGTGGCCCCCAGCACGCACTTTGTGAGGGCCCCTGAGGCAGAGGATTTGGGGGGCGTTTGATGCTAAGGGGAGCTGGCGTTTTTAAGCCAGGGGAGCTGTTTTCCGGCTCGCAGCCCCTGGCACTGGTCTGGAAACTCCAAATCTGAGACCCTGTCGCTGATGCAGGCAGGGCGGCTCCCCTGGGGTCTATAAAGTCAAGAGTGGCCCCCAGCACGCACTTTGTGAGGGCCCCTGAGGCAGAGGATTTGGGGGGCGTTTGATGCTAAGGGGAGCTGGCGTTTTTAAGCCAGGGGAGCTGTTTTCCGGCTCGCAGCCCCTGGCACTGGTCTGGAAACTCCAAATCTGAGACCCTGTCGCTGATGCAGGCAGGGCGGCTCCCCTGGGG